CTTTCCTTTTTCTTCCTTCAATACTTTGTAGTGATTCAATGTGCTGATCTTCCACAGGAATTACAATTTCTTTTTCCATTGTAATATCATAAATTGGATTCTCCTGCTCTTCTTCAACTTGAGATATCAGCAACACTTGCTCTTCCGGACCATATGTGTTTCTGTGCAATAACTGTTGATTATCAATTTCCATTATTGCATTACCTTCTAGTTGTTGATCTGATTTTTCTGATATTTCAACAACAAATTTCGAATCTTTATAGTATGGATCATTTTTTAAAAGAATCATACACATAATAAGATCTTCATCTTTTGTCACTTCTATTCCCTTAGAAGTACCTAGGTTGATATTAAGCCATACATTTGCTTGAAACTTTTTGTTGTCAAGCTCTATAACTTCAAAAATTTTTCTAAGGAATTCTTCAAATGAAGTCCCATCGTTTATCAGGAGGAGCTTCGTTTTATGATCCAAGTACTTGTAATCTGCTGTCCATTTGCCATCGAACGCAATAATCAAGAAATTTGTATGCATCCTGTATTTAATGAACCCAAATAATTAGATATCTAGAAATTATACTGTTTAAAAATATAATATTCATCCAGTATAATATACTGGAGAATAAGCTTACATACAGGTGATGTCCCGTAAAATATACTGGATTAAAACAAAACTCAATTATATTCTAGTCTTAGAACTTATCCATATAACATACTGGAGAAAAAGCTTAGACACAGGCGATGTCCCGTAAAATATACAGGATTAAAACAAAACTCAATTATAATCTAGTCTGAAAACAGAATTCGTCCAGTATAACATACTAGAGAAAAACATTACACACAGGTGACGTACTTTAAATTATTCTGGATTGAAATAAAACTCAACTATATTGTAACATAATATCTACATTAACGAAACATACTTCAAGTGAATTACAATACATTTTTTATGAGATTTCCAATATAATAAGCTGGAAACGTCCAGTAAATTATATTCTAGTCTAAGTAGAACTCAACTATATGCTACTCTAATAGAACTCGTCCAGTATAACATACTGGAGAAAATTTTAAACACAGGTGATTTCCTGTAAAATATACTGGATTGATATAAAACTCAATTATATTCTAGTTTATGCAGAACTTACCCAGTATAACATACTGGAGAATAAGCTAACACACAGGTAATGTCCCGTAAAATATACCGGATTCAAACAAAACTCAATTATATTCTAGTCTTAGAACTTATCCAGTATAACATAAAAAATATTACACACAGGTTACGTCCCGTAAAATATTCTGGATCCAAACAAAATTCAATTATATTCTAGTCTTATTACTTATCCAGTATGACTTATTGGAGAATAAGCTTATACACAGGTGATGTCTCGTAAAATATACTGGATTCATCAAACTCAATTATATTCTAGTCTTAGAATTATCCAGTATAACATACTGGAGAATAAGCTTACACACATGAGATGTACCCGTAAAATATACTAGGATTAAACAAACTCAATTATATTCTTGTCTTAGAACTTATTCAGTTTAACATACTGGAGAATAAGCTTACACACAGGTGACGTCCCGTAAAATATTCTGGATTCAAACAAAACTCAATTATATTCTAGTGTTAGAACTTATCCAGTATAACAATTGGAGGAAAAGCTTATACACATGTGATGTCCCGTAAAATATACTGGATTCAAACAAAACTCAATTATATTATAACATAATATCTACATTAACGAAACATACTTCAAGCGAATTATAATGCTTTTTTTATGAGATTTCCAGTATAATAAGCTGGAAAAATCTTCACTTTAGATATTAATTTAGAAACGTCCAACAAATTATGCTGGCGCTATGTTCTACATTGAGAAAATTAGACAATAACACAGATTAAAGCATTAAAAATAAATCAAAAATTCGAAAAATTAAATTTTTTTACTGATACTTTGAATTTTATGGTTTGAATTCTTGATCGTAGAAGAAATTTAAATAATCAAACAAATTTTAGATAGAACTTACTTCGATTTGCAGATTGACGACGGAAATTTTGCTAAAACTTTGATTTGCAGATTGACGCAGAACGATTTTGCTAACACTTCGATTTACAAATTAACGTCGGAAGATTTTGCGAATACCTCGATTAACGCCGAAAGATTTTGCTAATATTTCGATTTACAGATTGACGGCGAAAATTTTCCTAATAACTCGATTTGAAAATTAATGCCGGAAGATTTTGTTAAGTTTTGCTAAAAGAAGAATTTAAGGTGAAGTCGCGTAAATTAATAAAAAAGCAGGGGTATTTTAGTCAACAAAATGTTACCGCACTAAATTAGTGGCTAAATATCGTTGACCGGTGATTATGTGGCTACATTTGATTGACCAGGCGAAAAACTGGCCATTTTTGGATTTTTCGCGATAATTTTGGATAGTTGAGTGACCATTTGAGTAATGGACTCCTACTCTTTGAGCAATATAAAGTTAAATAGGTACAATTATAAGATAAGGTATCTAAATGAAAATTAGAGCCAAATTTAAGAGGCTCAGTATTTGGCCATTTGTATATGTGGTGGTATCATGTATGGAATCACACAATTGGATGGAGTCAATCCTGTTAGCCACCTTTCAATTTAAAAGTATAAAAACCCGAATATTAACCAGACAGCATATTTACCTTTTCTTATTGGCACTATTTTATTCACCCACTGTGTTTCTACACCAATAATACTCAATATTCTACTACTCCATTTCTCTATTACTGAATCCTACTAATTAGTTTGTGCCAGTGGATTAATTAGCTAAGTTCTGGTTTTCTGATCAAAGACAAGAATGATGAACGGAGAAATCTCAAAATCAAATGCTCAGCCACTGTCAACTGAGAATGCTAAACAGCTCCTCAATTCTGTCGATGCCTTTCTCTTCGATTGCGATGGTAATCCATCCCCCATCCCCCCCCNNAAAATAAAAATAAAAAAATAAAATCCACCCACCTTATATATATATATATATATATATATATATTCTATTAGTTTTTCATTTGTATTACAAGAGATTGTTGTTTTTACAAATTTCTTTTGTAGGTGTAATTTGGAAGGGCGATAAATTGATTGATGGCGTTCCCCAGACACTTGACATGCTTCGCTCCCTTGTATTTCCAATTCCTTATTATTATTCTCTTCATTTTCCTTTTTTATTTTGTTGAGTATTTTTGTGATTTTTTGTATAAAAGGATACAAGAGGAAGATTAATGGGGACCCGGGGGTTTGTTGGAAATAGGAACAGATTTAGTGTACAAGTTATGGGTCTATTCGACCTAGTAACTTTAGCTCAAACTGTTAAAAAATCCACTAAATAAGTAGAAATAATAGATTTTCAAACCCCACAAATCAAATGGATTATGGTAGAATTTTGAACTCGAACCCATAAAGTTCAAATCTTGGATGCGGTTTCCCGCCATAGAGAAGAGATAGAAAGTTTGGGTCCCCTCGATCACCCTCCCTTGAACCTGAGCTGGTCGAGAGAGATGAACCCGCACAACAACGTATCGAACCCCCAACTAGAGATGGAATTCCAGAACCTAAACAACTCCATTGAGAGCTCCGGACTAGTTCAAGGGAAGGTCAACCAATGATTGAAAGGATAAACAATCAAAACCGGGCTATCGCCCTATTTAAGCAGCTTTCCCCTCAACACTAGCCTTAAAAGCGCCTACTTTTCTTTCTTTTTTGAGCTCTCACCTTGAGTCGATCTTAGAAGCAACCTCAGCAGAAAGCCACTCTTCCAGAGTCTAGTCTATCGACGCCAAATCATCTTCATCTGGACTGAGTGTAAGCTGCATTGAGGAGATGATGTTCTTCACAAATTTCCAATCATTCTAGGATTGAATATCTGAATCCGTGGAGATTGGAAACACTAATGAAGGAAACAGCAATGTTTAAATCAGCTATATATGAAACCTCTATCTATTTGGCCCCATTTCATTCTGTAGGGGATGTAGCCTTAGTTCTACGGGTTCAATTGAACCAGTATTTTTGATACAAAACACAGATTTATATGTGAAAAACGGCGAAACTTCAACAAAGTTTAGATTCTAAACCCATAATTTTAAAAGCATAGTGAGTTCAGTGCCGAGAATTTCAAAGGTTGAACTCATTTTGTTGAAATCTTGTATTTGATTCTGGTTTCATTCCTATACTCAATATTTTATCCTATAAGGCAGACTTTGTTGTGCTATAATTAGGGAAAATGCCTAGTTATCTGCTTCTCTTGTGGACATGGCCCTCCACGACTCTGGGTGTGCATATGCATGAATTGAGATGCAAATTCACAACAGCCAAAAGTTATATGCTTTTGTGTGGATGTGGATTCATGTAGTAGCTATGTGTCTATCTTGAGATGCATATGCCCTCAGCAAAGTTGGCACTTTCATGTGGATTTTGTATGTTTGTATAACTGACTGTGTATGATGTATATTGAGATTGAGATGCCGTTGATATGCAGGGTAAGAAGCTGGTATTTGTAACAAATAACTCAACAAAATCAAGAAAGAAATATGCTGAGAAGTTCCATTCCCTTGGAATTCCTGTTAATGAGGTTTTACAATTCTAGTTTTTATTAGTATTACAAATACCAAAACTACATTTCGTCAATTTGTAGAAGTAAATTTTCGTTGTTTCTGCAGGATGAGATATTCTCGTCCTCATTTGCTGCAGCAATGTATCTGAAAGTCAATGATTTTCCAAGAGAAAAGAAGGTTAGTTATCATGAGTATTCACCTGAGTGCATATGGGTAGATATCTAAATATCTGAACAGAAGGAACACTTCGAAATTTGCTGATCTGATGTCTGGAAAGTTGTGTTCTAGTTGTGCAATGTTAAACGTTGGATGATTTGGATAAAAGTTTTCTGAAATCCACTTTCACTTGCTATAGAAATTACACGCAGTACTGTTTAAATCAAAGATTAGTTCTGCTGATTAACTGAAGGTTTGTATTTATGGTTTTTAATGTGTTGCAAAGCATTAACGAGGCTCCAAGTGGCAACAGCGCGCAGCTATATTGTTGCCTACAATTTAAGTACCAGATTCCAAACTAAACATTATTGTTGTTCCTAAAGTTACTGTTGAAGTCTCAATAACCTTTGTTCCACTGGATGGAAAACCTTTTGTAATTTCATTCATTTTTAGTGAAGGTAATTTCGTTCATCTAAACAAAGTGCAATTAAACCAAAAGAGAAAGAAATATGTAAGGTACAAATATTTGAAATCTGGTAGAGCTATATAACCAGATAGATTTATTATACATAACAACGAATCCGGATACAAATTTCCAATATTTCACCTTGTTAAAAAGAATCTTACCCCTATTGAATTTGACGAAATATTTAAGAAAGGACAAAAAGGTCGAAATGCACTGATAAAAAGATAAGGATTCATTTACTTGTCACCACCATCTTTATAAATTTATGTTTGATGTGATCTTACGTCTTCATAATGATAATTTCCTTATTTACACCGAAATATTTGGTAAA